CAAACTAAGGTATATACGAACCGCTAACAGAATAACACTAAGAAGTAACTAAAAAGAGCCCAATAGGTTAGTAAGGATAAAATTTAGGATTATCGCTAGAACAGAAGATACTACCGATACAGAAGAGCCGGTTGCCGTATTACCGAATGCCCCTATCTCCTTGCTTTCTGGCCGGAAAACTATCTTAGTACTATAGGGTTAATAAAGAAAGGCGGTCGTTCTACTACCGGATCAGAGAGGAAGCTAGAGCGAAATATCTATATAAAGAAAGTAAAGCTAGTTATCAAAAGTAATACTAGTAGCGATAAATATATATCTGCTAGTTATAGCAAGCCGGGAAAAGAGTAGCTTCTACTCTTTGCTATAAGCAGGAGCAAAAGAGAGTTAAGAAATTAGATAAGAGTAAAGAACTACTGTTTATAGTTAATATTATAGTCAATAGAACTCAGTTTGTAGAGGTACTAGTTGACTATAGCTGTCTTAGCTATATAATAATAAACAGTATACTTATTAAGTCTCTTAATCTCCTGTACATTAAGATACGCATACGATAGCTAGACAGTATTGTAGCGAACTAAGGATAAATTACCTATATTACCTACTTCGATACAGATATCTACAGACATCGGCAGAGTACTATATTCGTATATATTATTGAGGACTAGATAGATAACATTATCTTAGGCCTACTCTGAATTAAGGATATAGATAGAACGTATTTGTCTAGAAAAGGGTATATAGATATCTATACAAAGTCTTGCAGGAAGATACAATATTAGAATTAAAGAGATTGTTTAATTAGGCCTATAGGTAAAAAGATATTAGAAGTAAAACAACTGTTAGTAAAAGGTATTCAGTACCTATTCGATAGAACAATAATACCAGACAGACTACAAATTAGGAAGGTTACGTTAGACAATATCAAGAAGGCTATCTTTCGGCTGAAAGATAAGGTCCCTATCAAAGAGAGACTCCTCTGTTAGTATTAGAAGTAGCTTAATATTTTTAGTCAGCAACTAATAAATATATTACTACCTTATCGACTAGAAATCGACTATAAAATACCGTTAAAATAAGATTAAAACAGTACTAAGGAATTACCCCTATATAGACCCCTCTATAGTATAAATAAAGAGGAGCTACTCTATCTATAAAAGACGCTAACTAAACTACTAGATAAGAACTTTATCTGAGTAAGTAAGTTATCCGCTGTAGTACTAGTGCTATTAGTACAAAAGCTAGACAGAGGAGTACGGTTTTATATTAACTACTGTAGATTAAACGAATTAAGTATTAAGGACCGGTACCTACTGCTATTAATTCGGGAGATGCTACAGAATATATCAAAAGTAAGATAGTTTACAAAGCTTAATATTATTATAGTATTTTATAAGGTACGGATAGTATTAGGCAAAGAATAGAAGACAGCCTTCTGTACGAGATATAGCCTCTTTAAATAGAACGTAACGCTGTTTGGCCTTACTAGTATACCTGCTACTTTCTAAAGGTTTATTAACCAGATATTGCAGGAGTATATAGACAACTTTATATCTGCTTATATTAACGATATTATTATCTACTCAGATAACTTAATTAAAGATTATCGATAAAAGGTCTATAAGGTACTCTAGAAGCTTAAGGATACAGGGCTATAATATAATATCGGTAAGTTAGAATTTAAGTAAGATTCAGTTAAATATCTTAGCTTTATTGTATATACTGGTAAGGGAGTATACGTTGACCCTAAGAAGGTAGAAGTAATACGTATATAGGAAGCACTGAGAACAGTCCGTAATATCTGTAGTTTCTTAGGATTTGCTAATTTCTATTACTTATTTATACCCTAATTCGCTGCCCTATTGTTACCGTTGATAAGGTTAATAAAGAAGAATATACTATTTTAGTAGGATTAAGACTGCTAGGATATATTTAATAAACTAAATAACCTGTTTATTAACGCTCTAATACTGGTATACTTTAAGAAGGAAAAGAAGACTGTTATTAAGGCAGACATATCTAGATAGGCTACGGATACAGTACTCTCGCAACGTTAATAAGACAGAAGATTAGCCCCCTGTACCTATATATTATAAAAGTTATCACTAGCCGAAGTAAACTATAAGATATACGATAAGGAGTTACTTACTATTATCTAAGTACTGCGTAAGTAGCAGCTAGAACTGAAGATAGTCTCTTAATTTACTATTATAACAGACTATAAGAACCTACGATACTTTAATAAAGTACAGTACCTTAGTAAACAACAGATACAATAGATAGAACTGATAATAGAATTTGATTTTACTCTCTACTACCGGCTAGGTAAGCTTACAGTACTACCAGATGCATTATCTAGAAGAGGACAGAATGTTCCCTAGGATATTATAGACGAAAGACTAGCGAATTAATTTTATACTCTATTTGAAAAGGTATCGGTTCGATCTAACCGTACGTATAAGGTTAACAAAATAGACCCTAACCTCTCTACCTCAGTACTACTTTTCAACGAAAAAGAGCTATAGGATAAGTAGGAGGAAGTAAGGCTAGCCGATAGCGTTTACTATACCTATTTAACAGCGGTAAAGAACGGTAAATATAGTATTAAGATCGAAATAAGCGTAAAGACTAGTCTCTCTAAGTATTATCTAGATAAACAAGGGTTATTATACTTCTAACAACGAATATAGATCCTAGAGAGTAAATAGTTATAGACCAGTATTATTTAAAAAGTATATAATTCCTATATTACTAACTACCTAGGACAAGACGCTACGTATGTAATACTATCTTAGAGATTCTTCTGGCCTAGAGCAGCAAAAAACGTATACCGATTCCTACAAAACTGTACTATTTATAGGAGGACTATAGTCTGGCGGGATATAAAGTATAGGTTGCTAAAACTACTTCTGATTCTATAACGAATCTGGGCTGAATTATCCTTAGATTTTATTATAGAGCTATCCCTAGCAAAGAAGGACGGCTCTATAAACCTACTGGTTATTACTAATCAACTTATAAAGGGTATAATATTGATCGGTATAAAGAGGATTACATTATAAGACGTAGTAGATATATTCCTAACGTACTTCTATATATATTATAGTTTGCTAAGAATAATTACTAGTAACCGAGGGTTATAGTTTATAAGCAGATTCTGGCGGATAGTATACGAAAAACTAGCGATTCAGTACTGATTATCTACTGCTTTCTACCCGTAATCTGATAGAGTAATAGAATAAGTAAACTAAGAAATAGAAAGGATTATAAGGATCTTTACTACCTACGTATAGGACAACTAGAAGGGACTATTACTAATAATTACAGTAGCTATTAATAACTAGAATACCTCGTCGACAGGACTATCCCCCTTCTTCTTTACTTATAGATATTATATTGACCCTCTTAGTATAGCCGACGATAATGTAATACAAATAGATAAGGTAACTCCGCCTACTGCTGCAGGCGAATTATTTATAAAACGACTATAAGAAGCTACCGATTAGGTATAATCTGTAATTATAGTTATCTAAGAGGTACAATAAGAGTAAGTAAACCGATCTTAACGTACTGCCCCGACTTACTATATTAGTAATAAGGTTTGGCTAAACCTACGTAATATCTAATCTCAGCGACTATCTAAGAAGTTTAATTAGGTATACATACAGTATAAAGTAGTTAAGGTGCTAATACTACATACAGTACAGTTAGATATACTAACAGGCATATACCTAGTATTTAATGTCGAATTAGTACGGCCAGCTGCTACAGACCCGTTTCCCTCTTAATTTGTCGATGATATACAGCCGCCTCCTATTAAAATCGATAATGAGGTAGAGTACGAAGTTAAAGAAATACTCGACTATAGGGAAAGGTGCGTTGGCAGAGGAAAACGAACTGAGGTTTTGGTAAAATAGACTAGGTATGCAGAGACTATATAGGAGCCAGCGGATGAGATAGAAGATTATATAGAGCGATGGATACGTACGAGAGGCAGTTCGGCTGCGTTATAAGGGTGTCCCGACTACGAGTTGCTGCTAAGAAGAATATAGCGATACTAGTGCTACGGCTTTCAGCCGAAAGATAAGGTGAGGAGGGGGGTACTGTAACGGGCCTAGGCCCGAGGAGATATTACGTGGTGTTACGTGACCGTTTCCTGCAGGAAATAAGGTAGAAGCTTATATAGATAACTCTTCTTCAAGATTATTGTAAACAGCATGCAGGCCTAGCCCTAATTGAACAGTTGTCGCTACAGCCCTTCACATAGAACTCTGTAATTCTTTTTTTTTTAATATACTATTTTTAATCTTTTTAACCTCTAATATATATATATTAAATATAGAATAATAATAATCTAAAAGAAAAAACTAAAAATACCTATATATAAGGCCTAAAAACAGGTCTGATACATACAGTATTTGAAGGCTTGGCATATTTGCCCTGTTTACACCAAAATAGGGACCCACTGGGTCCCTATGTGGGTTTTGGGTTAAGGGTCTCAACCCAAAACCTATCAATGGGTTATAGAATTGGACCCAAAACCTATTTTGGGCTGGGTTAGGTTGGGTTGGGTCATGGTTGACATGGGTTCTGGCGATGTCTAACCATGACCCAACCCAACCCAACCCAGCCCAAAATAGGTTTTGGGTCCAATTCTATAACCTATTAATAGGTTTTAGGTTGAGACCCAAAACCCAAAACCTATGTGGGAACCCACTGGGTCCCTATTTTAGTGTAAATAGCGCAAATATACCAAGCTCATATAACTTCTAGAATTATAAAATTCCTGCTCGTAATTTAAGGTATAAGTTTACTATCCTAAGGTATTGAATGCTTTATATTTATTAGATATTATATTATAAACTTATTATCCTAATAAATAAATTACAACTTAAGAGCTAGCAGATTATAATAATTTAATTATAAGATAGTAAATTTGATTACTAGTAAACCTTAAAGATATTATCAGTCTGAGCCTTTTACTTTCGTCCTGAGTAACGAGGTTACGATAGTAGTAGAGACTGTATTAGCTGTAGCTCCTTATAATTATAACTGTCTAAGCTAGGTATTTCCTCTCTCTCCTTAGGATCTACTATATCTTCCTCCTTATAATTACTAATACTATCTATCTTAACCTTAACCTCCTCTGGATACTCTATATTGAGTTCTCAGACTGCCTTAATCTTCTGTAGGGAAAAGTACTGCTCTAGCTCCTTTGTCTCTACTTCTTTAAGATTAAATTATATTGAACAAAGAAACAATATATATTCCTTAATTATTTTAGAGTTTATACAGCCACGTCGGTAATGACAGATATTACGTACAGTATTAAAAAGCCGTTCAATACCTGCACCGGTTGCTAGAATAGAGAGTATATCTTAAGCAAGCTGTGTAATCGTAGGAAAACAGGATTAATTCTTACGTCAGTATTATAGTGGCTTAATCTTAATTAGATCTAGATAGTAGATATTAGTATATAGTATCATAAATAAATATTGAGAAGAGATTATATACCACCGTCTAGATACTGGCTTACTTCATCGTCTGTAGGCTTTATAGCTCTTTAATTACTACTTAATATCTTACTTAGCTGTAAAGTAGATATAGGCTAAGTCTGAGGATCAGAAGTAGATTGGTTATCTAAGAGACGGGTCTAGTATAGAGATAATACTGTCTAGAATAATCTTCGGTACCTTACTTACCACTTATAATCCTAGTCTTCTGAGAGAAAGAAGCAAAATCAGCTATTAGGTGCTAGTATTATACTAACAGTAAAGGTATACCCTTGTATATAGTCTGTCTGTATATAATGAATACAAAGTTTGTTATAACCAGTATCTAAAGCTGTTAATATTTACTACTTCTATAGAATACGCTTACGTTTAAGCTGCTTTTTTACCTATTCTAAATAATTAAAGAGTATATTGTAGAGCTTAAAGATAAGATAAGTTGTAATATCCTTTATTTTTAATAGCTTAGTAGTATAGTTAAAGAATGGCTAAGTTATACAAAGTAGATAGTTAATTTATCGCTACTTATTATTAGTTAAGAGTATCTCTGTATAATTATATTCCTTACAGAAAGGCTTAAATAATAGGCAAATTCACTTAGTCCGGCGAAGCATTAAGAAGGTAGAGTTCTAACGGGTCTTAATATCTTAAATAGGTACTAGTTAAGGTTCTTTTGGTTAGAGTTAAAGAAAGATCTTACAACGTTAAGGACTGGCATTAATATATATAGCCAGATATCAAATCTTATTAAGTATTGCTGTAATACTGTAGTTCTAGACATTCTTTTTTACTGTAGTAGAATACTGCTTAGTCTATCTAGTCTCAGTATCCTTATTCTGAGGAGATACCTTCAGTTTCCTAAGAAGCTTATTTAAACTTAGCTAGATAACGTATATAAGATAGGGAATCCGGATAACAGTTATATTAGGTGGCAGACTCTGCTAAAGGGCCTTAATCATTATTTTATTGTTTATTACGTTGTCAGTAGTAATTCTATAAATCTAATCTTTAATCTGATATTGCTCCAGAATCTAAAGAATAATTTGGCTTAGGTTAGAACCGCTGTATACGCTATACACTAGCTTAAATCTAAGCAATACCTCTTAGTATATCTAATTTATATCTATAAAGTAAGCAGTTATTGCTATAAATACCTAATTATAGGGTAACGTCCAGCAGTTAAGTATAAGCGAAAGCTTAGTATTAGGAGAAAGGGTTCAGAGGGCCGATTACTAACGTATTTTAACAATAGAGTGTAAGCGGTAATATATCGTTTTAGTAGAGGGTATTAAGGGCTCAGAGGGTACTAAACGGATAATACGGATAATCTTGCTAAGCCCGGGAGCTTTGAAAAGTTATATTAGTAGTCGGTTAATAGTAGTAAACTAAAGTAGTTCCTCCTTCTAGTACTCTTGTAAAAAGGGGATTTTGATCGGAATAGTACTCTAAAACCTATAATTAATTAGTATTATATATATAAGAGAAATAAGGTTATACCTTTATTTTTAAAAACCGAGAAATCCCTAAGCCTTCTTTGCCCTGCCCTACCTGAATATAGTTTACAGTACCTAAATACTTCTTTATTGTAGAAGTCCCTTAGTAACCTTTCTTTGTCAGAAGACTATTTATTGGATGCTCTAGAATTATACTGTATTGCTTATATATAACCTTAGGTATTCTGTTCTTAATTAATACAATCTGATTATATTCTTACCAGATATTACTACTTTGGTTTAAATCCTATACTACTTTGCTTTTCCGCCCAAAATTAGTCTTGATCTACTATTTTACCCAGTCGTTATATACTATATTATTATATAGTAGATATTCTTTTCTGTAATTAGGGCCAACGTATAGAAGTAAGTTAGGGATTAGTGGAGGGTCAACTAGGCAGAGAAAGTCTGGCTTGCTATAAGGCTTAAGGGTATTAATAAGATATTAATTCTGGCTACTAGAAGATATAGTAGTATTCTGTAATAGGGTTAAGTAACCAAAAGTCTCTGTATTCCTATTATATAATAATAGGACAAAATTAGAATATTAACTTTGACTCTGTAACATAATTACTATTAATTAATTAAGGATTTATAGTAAGGTAAGGGAGAAAGAAAACAGAAGAGAGAATACCTACACTAACAAAGAAAGAAAGAAAGAAAGAAAAAGAATTAGCTTATTGTATATAGATTAGTTATAAAAGAAGATATATCAGAAGAAGATAGCCCGTTATTCCTACTAATTTAGTTCTAGTATAGGTTAAACCTAGCAAAACCTAGTAGAACCTATTAATAACCTATTAAAAATCTCTTCTAACCTATTCCGATCTATTCTAACCTATTCTGACCTATTAATAACCTATTTTAACTTATTGATAACCTATTCCGACCTATTAATAACCTATTCCGACTTATTAATAACCTATTCTAACCTATTAATAACCTATTCTAATCTATTAATAACCTATCCCGCCTTATTAGCTAGCTTTAATTACTATAGATCTAGAATTTTTATATCTTTTAGAGATATTTTAGCTAAAATAAATAGTTCGTATACTAAGTAGCCAAAGTATAAGACCTTTATATTTCAGCGGAAATATAAGATACTTAGCCTTTACATAAAAGATAAGTATTTTGTTTAAATAAGTAGTAACAAACTATAGAGCTACTATCTTTAATTTATATTATCAGAGAGTATAGAGTTAGACAGACGGTATCTATTAGGTTCTTATTAGCTGTAAAAAAGAAGGCGTATGTATAGCGTAGTAACTAATAATATTAGTTCAGACGTACGAGGGGTGATCAGCAGTACGGATAAGCTTAGGGTTTAGTAAAATAGGGGGGCTAAGTAGCTTATATATAGGATTTATATAGCTTATATATAGGATTTATACCTTAGAGAAACAGCAGAGTATTTATATAGGGTATATATCTTATAATTAGTATAGGTATAAGTTTTACTATTACTAGTGTAAGTTTTAGGTTCACTAGTATAGTAACTAGTATAGTAGTAGAAGGAAAATAGGCTAAAGTATCGTAAGTACTTATTAATCCTCAGATTTTAGTTAAGCTGCTTAAGCAGAGAGAGTCGATATTAAAGATTATAGTAAGTTAGCCGTAGGTATAGAATAGATTTAGATAGTTAAGTTAGTCTTATACTAATTAGTCTCTGTATAGGAGAATTATAGATTATATAAGGAGAATATATAAATATTCGACTTATACTTAACTCAGAAGTTAAGATAGATACTTAGTAACAGTCTATAGAGAGTAGAAGCCTACAATATTTACATTAATTAGTTATATTAATTAGATATTTAAATTATCAGAGATTAATTAACCTTAGGCTACTTTTAATTCCGATAAAGATCAAATTTAAGTAAATTAATTTTAGTAGCTAAGTAGCAGCTTAAAAGTATACTAACTTATGTCTATAGAAGATATATATCTTTGTCTTCTAAGTAAAAAATAGATATTAGCCTAAGGCTATACTTATATAAGGTAGTTATATAACTTAACTAGCCCGTCGGTAAGTTAAGGCTAGCGTAAGTTCGTTACCTATATTATCTTCTTAAAACAACCATATGTCTTTAAAAAATAAAAATTAATACCTAGGACTCTACAATTAATCTTTTAGTAAGTATCTTTAAAATACTGCTCGATAATTCTCCTAGTCTTAAGGCTATTTACCTTAGTTAGATCTAACTTACTAATTTTAAACAGATATTATAGCAATCTATATATATATTAATTTTGACGTATTCCTAATCTTATTATTATCGTTAGTCTGCTGCAAACTTTAATTAAATAAAAGATATTAGCTTTATAACAGTTAGCAGAATAACTATTCTAGTAAATAATTATTTAGTACATTTACTGTTATTCTTAATATAAGACTGCAAAGGTCTTACTAGGCTTAGGGGAATATAGATAAAGGAGGAATTATTATAGATAGTTGATTACTGAGTAATCAATAAGATTAAGGACTTAGTTGCTTGATTATAGAGGATTCTGATTGTTGTATATTATTATTTCTAAAGGAAAGAAGGCCCTATTTAACCTTAGAATAGTTATACCGGATAGCTAGTATTCCAGCTATCCGGCCGGTTATCTAGCTATCCGGCCGGTTATCTAGTATACCGAATATCCGGTCGGATACTAAGTATACCGAAGATCTGGCCGGCTACCTAGTATACCGAAGATCCGGTGTTTTTTAGGGTTACTAAGCCTTTTAACTAAATCTTAGTTATATCTTTAACTAGATCTTAGTTATATCTTCAACTAGATCCTAGTTATATCTTTAACTGGATCTTAGTTATATCTGTATAATATTCATATCCCCCCTTAATCTTTATATATATATATATATATAAGGATTAGCTTTGAATATTAGTTATTATTTTTGGTATATGGCTTTCAAATATATTTTTAATTATATTTTTAGTAAGTATATCAGCAATATTATCTTTTGAGGGTATCGGTACTAGCTTTATTTGGCTATTTTGTATAGCGTTCCTAGTAAAATGATATATTATATCAATATGCTTTGATCTCTTATGGAATTCAGGATTTTCAGCTAATTTTTTAGCTCCTTCGTTGTCTATTAATATTATTGGTATAGTATTAGTATAACCTAAATTTAGATAATCATTTATATATATAAGCATATTATTCAGATATATTGCTTCTTTTGTAGCTTCTTTTAATGCCATATATTCAGCTTCGCAGCTTGATAAAGCTACTGTTTTTTGAAGCTGACTATTCCAGGATATAGGATTAGTTAGGCCTAGATCACTACCTAGGCTAATTATATAGCCAGTAGTAGATCTTCTATTATTAATATCATTTGCCCAGTCACTGTCACAATAACCTTTAATATATAGGTTATTACCTGAGCAGTTATATATTAGACCTTTATTATTATATTTTAGTATATAACACCATATATAGTGTATAGCCTTAAAATGTTCTTTACTAGGATTTGACATAAACCTAGCACAATATGATACAGGAAAGGCTATATCAGGTCTTGTTTTTAGGGCTAAATATAGCAGAGAGCCTATTTCTTTTTGATATTCTTTTATATCAGTATTACTAGCAGTAGTAGTATTTTTTATTAATTTTATTCCTGGTTCTCCAGGTATATCTTTTGGTTTGTATGTATTATTGTTATATATGTTAAATTTAGATAATAATTTATCAATATATTTTGTTTGATATATATATAGCTTTTTAGCCTTATAATCAATATATATATCATTACCTAAAAATGTAGTAATTTGACCTATTTCATCTAATTCAATAGATTTATTTATATTGTTTTTTAAGGCTTTTATATAGGATAGATCTTTATGCAATACTAGTATATCATCAACGTGACATATTAGTATACAATTATCCTTTTTATTTATATATATTCCTTCATCATATGGAAATACCTCAAAATCTAGTAATTCCAGTACTGATTTTAGGTATTGATACCATAGTCTAGGGGATTGTTTTAACCCGTATAATGCTTTATTAAGTTTTGCACATTTATTATTATATTTAGGATTATTATATAATCCTATTGGTAATATAGTATATATATCAGCATCTATATTAGCATGGCAGAAAGCGTTTTTAACGTCATATTGCCATATATATAGGCCTTTATTAACAGCTATTAGTAATAGCATATGCCATGATTCTGTTCGGCATGTTGTTGAAAAGGTTTCTAGGAAATCTATTCCTAATCTTTGATTAAAACCTTGTATAACCCATCTAGCTTTATATCTAATAGTATTATCACTATTAGTAATATGACTAGTATTATTGGCTGTTCTGTTTATAGTAGGTTTCATCTTAAAAACCCATCGGCCATTTATAGGGGTTATATTATTAGGTATATCAACAATATCCCAGGTCTTTTGGCTAACTAGGGCATTATTTTCAGCTATACAGGCCTTTTGCCAATATAGGCTATCAGGGCCTTCTAGGGCCTGTTTTAGTGTATTAGGCTCCTTTATAGTAGTTATAGTTAAAACAAAGTTTAATACACTACTATATATAGGCCTATATATAGCTTCTACTGCTGTATCAGACAGAGTATAGAGTATATTATTATTGTTATTATTATAGTATATATTATTTTTTATTGGTATTTGAACCTCAATTTTATGAGAGGGATCCTCTGCTATTTTTATATATTCTGTTGCTCTTGTATTCATCTTATGTATTAAAGGTTTGGGGTTTAGGGTTTTCAGGGTAACCCTTTTATTATTGTTTAGAGATATATTAGTTATATTATCCTTAATACTATCAAAATTATAGTATTTATTTTCTAGGATTGTAATATCTCTTGATATTATTGTAGTCCTTTTATTAGGTATATAAAGCTTATAGTGGCCATAATCAGTATAGCCTACTAATATAGCCTTTTCCTGCCTAGGTTCTAGCTTAGTTATTTGCTTATTAATAGTATAATAAGCAGTAGAACCCCATATTTTTAATTGATTATATATATCGATAGAGGGTTTTGTTTTATTATATAACTCATAGGGTGTTTTAAACCCTAGAGCACTATGTGGTGTTCTATTATATAAATAGGTAGCTGCCAATAAGGCTTCACCCCATAGGTATTTAGGACAATTACTATTGGCCAGCATTGCCCTTACCTTATTTAATAAGGTAAGATTTATACGCTCTATTAGGCCATTAGGCTCCTTTGTATAAGCAGGACTAGTATTATGTATAATACCATATTTATTTGTTATATTTTTAATTGGTTTATTAATATATTCTTTACCATTATCAGTAAATAGTTGTTTTATATTTATACCAATTTGATTTTTTATTAAGGCTTTTATCCTTTTTAAAGCTGTTATTGCTTGGTTTTTATTTTTTAATAATATAGTAAATAGATAGCGGGTTTGCTTATCTAGA